GGTGAGAACTTCTCATGAAAGGTACTACATTTGATAACTGTAGGACTTTTGGTCAGCCATTTCACCATGCTCTAGGAGGACATCGTTTCTCCATTTTGTTAATTTGTCCTTCTTTCTATTGATGACTTCCACAACTTATTTCTTTGTTCAGTAGCTAATCTATTCTACAAACTAATCTAGGATTTCTACAATCAATGCCTCTCGTACCTTATCATTTCCTCCGAGAAACGATGCCGATGATTTCAGTCTAAAACGATTTTATTTGAAAGGTATATGATACCTCTACACAACGAGATCTACGATGCATGCGTTGAAAAACATAAAATCGTTCGGAAATAAACAAATAAATAGAACATAATAACAGAACAGATAAACATAATAGCATGCAGAGAGAGAGGAGATTTCTGAAATTTGATGAGTCTCTAAAATTCCCAACAAAAAACAGAGATCAGTAGAAGAGTTTGTCGATCGCTAGAGTGCGATAGGCACTAAATCGTTCTATGAACCGATGGCCATTGCAATCCATGGAGATGAGGTCCGTGCAATTTCGTACGCGCCCGCGTGCGCTCGCGCGCGTACACATCCGGTTCGAACTATTGGTGCTAGTTGTCCGCCGTCAGTTGGCTGTTGTCATGCGTCACAACCTACGAGCTCAGCTTATGCGGACAATTGGTGCGGAATGATCGGCAGAATTTCTCGTGTCCAGTTGACTGGTCACCGGCACAGTAGAAATTGTAATTCTCAGAGAAGTCTTCGCAGTACTTCTGTACTTTCGGGTCCTGAAAAGAACCTCTTTGGTTACTCAGAATTCTTATGAGGCTGATTCTATTGTCTCTGATTACAAGGGATTTTAGCATGGTTCATGCAAGTAGTCAGTGTGAGGTATGCAGATGGAAATGGGAACTCAGACGTGGAGGGAGGAAAAGAAAAAGATGGCGAAATTTAGGAAAATACGACGGAGTGGAGAGATAAAGAAAGTCACGGAGACGCAAAGGATTAGAGAGAGCCGGGAAAGGGAACAGAGGGACATGTGAGGTGGCGAATGCGCAGACACGAAGATTGCAGAGAAAGGGGAAAATGGTACGGAAAGGAAAATTCAGAAGGAATGAGAAAAACAGGAAGGAAATAGAATGGCAAGGAGGGAGGGCAGAGGAATA